CACGAACGATAACTTCCAGGTCCTTTTCGTTTGGAGAACACGGCAATGGCTGAGTTCCATAGAAGTATGGAAGCGATCTCTGTTGCGCAGCGATACAACCTTGCATTTTTCAGCATTGAATTCGATGTCATTATTGATGGACCATCAGTAAGCTGTGTCGAGAGTTTCCTGCAAGGTTTCATAATCTTCAGGATATTTTACCGTCCTCCATGCTTTGGTGTCATCAGCGAATGATAACGCCTTTTCTCCAAGGATATCTGGTAGATCGCTTATGAATGCTAAGAAAAGGTACTGATTGATTACGGATCCTTGTGGAACTCCACGGACAGCCTCAATCGGTCCTGACAGAGAACCATTAACTCGAACCGATACGGTACGTTGTCGAAGACATTCCTCAATCCAGTCCAGTAGCAGTCCTCAGACACCGTAATTATGAAGCTTTCGCAGCAGTATATGGTGGTTAACCCTGTCAAAAGCTTTGGAGAAGTTTAAGTAGACTACATCTACTGCCTCTACTGCTCCAACTGATTTTGTCCATTCATCTCGTGCAAGTAGCAGGTTTGTGGTTCACGAGCGTTTCCTTAGAAACCCGTGTTGGGCCAGCGAAAGTATGTTATGCTTCTCGAAATGATCCATCAGAGAAACAGCAACAATCGATTCCATTACTTTTGACAGAACAGAAAAAAAGTGTAACTTGACGGTAGTTCGCATGATCATTTCTGCAGCCACCTTTGTAAATAAACGAAATGATGCCGTGTTTCCAAGATTGGGGGATCCTTTTCTTGTCGAACATTCTTTGGTATAAATGGGCAATTATTTCAGATATGTAATTTGCCAAGGACGTTAGGGTCTGTGGCCGGATGTTGCCTTCTCCTGGAGACGAATTCCGGCGAAGCGCCAATAGTTTGTTTTTAACCGTTTCAGATTTGAATGTGACGGTGGTCAGCTGGGGGTATGGGACACTTGATAGAAGGTGTGGAAGCTGTAATCCGCCTTTGTTACCTGCAGTGAACACTTTGTAGAACTGGAGTTTTAGGAATTCGGCTGCTTCAGTAGTAGTAGTGGAAAGGTGACCTGCATGCCTTAGTGCCGGTAGTCCATAGTTCACTTTTCTGGTAGCATTGGTATCATGCACAGTAGCTTTGGATTAGCAATAAGTTTATGTACCAGAGTTTCTTGAAACCTTCGTTTATCTTCTCGCACTAATTTTACACAAAGGTTTCTCAACAAGATATAGTTATCTTAAGTGTCGGCGGTTGGACATCTTCTGAACTCTTGCAAAGAGCAATTCCTCCGTGACATCCATTTATTAGTTCGACTACGGATAGGTGGTAATCGTGTAGGCAACGCACCGACAGGCTTGGGTTTTGTGGTGATCGGTATGAGTTCTGTTAGTGTTTCAATGAATCTTTTCCAGGACTTCAGTAGATCCAGCTGCTCTTCTGGTTGTGTCCATTGTTTGGCAGTAGCAAGATTCAGCAATTCATTGTGGTCAATAACTGTGTGTGTGTTGGTTTTCAGGCATATTTCTAATGAGGCGTGGTAAACGTAATCAAAAAACAGAACTGCATTGTCGCCTCGTCTTAATGGAAACGTTATTTCGACCGATTCGACCATAAGCTCCTCGCTTGTCAATAGCAAATCCAATGTTGATGGTTGGTGGCCTGTTCCAAATCCGGTGGGATTCTTCACGTGATTATACATCGGATGTGAGTCTATAAACTGTGATACGTTTTGCTCGAAAAGGTGGTGATAGTTCTGGCTTTTTATAACATTGAGACCATTGGAGTCCCCCATTATGAGAAGATGAGTGCACTTTACTGAGATAGCGTTTCTCATAGTCTGCAAGAGTGCCTCGTTAGCTAAGTCTGAGAATGCAGGAGGGCGGCAGACTACACCGATCAAACAATTGCTATCTTTGGACAGCCTCATTGTGCACCAAAGTGTGTCGGGGGCCGCACCGAAGAGATCGATTGGTTCACATTGAAGGTTGCTGTGGAAATATAGCAGCACAGCGTCACCTCGTGTAGAGTGATCACGCCTCAGCAGCGACATTCCGGGTAGGTGCAATTCAGAATCGAGAATATCTGCAGTCAACTAAGTTTCGGTAATGGCAACGAGATCCCACTGACCAGTTTTCAAACGCATTCGAACCTCAGGGAGTTTGCCTTGTGCGTTTGTGTAAAAACAAGCTAGGGAGCGTCTGTTTAGGAATCCGCTGAGTTTTGAATCGTTATTTATGCCGACCACTCTGCCGTCGGCTAGCAGTAGTTTTTTGGGGAATCGGTTCTGCTGCTGTGGACTCAAAGAAATAGAGGGAAGTGGAGTTTGGTTTTCTAACTGCGGACATCGTTTTATCTCACTATTCAACAGTGATCTGAGGCGTAATTCTGATGATCCTGTTCTTCTGTTTTGGTACCTTGCCTGCAAGACCAATGTGACCATTACCGTGTTACTGAGGGTTACTTTCATAATCCTCGGTGGTTTGCTGAACACGGAAGTCGACTGACTGCGGTAGTGAAAATATGGCATCCAATCAACTCTTAAATAAACCTCCACTCTTTACAATCGTTTTGTTGACATGTGGATTCGTTTGGATCGTTTAATTTCGGGACTCCGTGAATCAATACAACTCGTTTATTTTTCAACTCGTGTGCCTCTACTGGGTTCGTACGATGGCGCACACGTTCGGTCCACGGTCGATCAGAAGGTATTCTTATACTACTCGAAATTTTGCCAAGAAGGTAACGAGAAAGAAGAACGTCCTCGACATCTTTCTCATCCTTCAGAGTAACGCGAAGTAGACTGGCTCACATAGGTTCCCTGGCTGGGGACCCCGAGGTCATGGGCACCGATGGTTAGAGACACTGAGCGATATAGCTGCGTGTCGCAAACATTGCTACTCATTATTCTTGTGACTTCAGGCTATGTAAATGCACTATCTTCTGCTTGAATCTGCTCTTAACATTCTAATCACCATTCTGCTGTTTTATCCAAATGGGCAACCAAAACCGGCACACGAAAAGTGCATGGGGAATGGTTGTAAAAAAAGAAAAGAACAGAACAGAACTTTGTCTCACTGTTGCCTAAATTCCGTGAACTCACGTGTCTGATTAGACGGAGGTATTGTGACTGCTTCCAGTAGTCGTAGCTTTTTCCATCTTCCCTATATTTTACCACTCTCCACTTCTCGCACATATCGGGTCTGCATGGTGGTTTACTCTCTAACGATTTAATCTAATAATCGAATAAGAAACACTTGTTTTGTTCTGTATAATGCTCCTTTCTATGCAATATTGCCAGTTCAAAGCTATTATGTATATTAAACACGTATATTTCAGGTGGCCGAAGTAATGCAATGCTTGGTAACTTTTCGGCGCCTTCATCCGGCCTGGATTATTATTCGTGGTCTGACAGAGAATTGCCTCATTCATCAAACAAACAAGTCGACCAGTACATCCAGTACACAATCCGAAGATCCATCAGATACTGACAGCATCTCTAAACCCCTTGAGGAGTTGTTGACCTCCAAAGCTCCACAAAATCCTACTTTGAAAGACACACTGGTCGCCCTACTATCCCCATCACTGAAGGGTACGAGGCCCGAGCAGGAGACGCGTTCGCGTAGAACAACCAATCCGGCTTATAACCCGCGACCGATACAGACGAGCAATATGCATATTGGCCTTCTGGATTTGGTCACACCCAGTCGCTATGCCCTGTTTCAACGAATCACCACACTAGCTCAATGTGTTTTACTTCACCTGTCCAACGACTATCAGCCCGCCTCGGCCGTACGAGGTCTGTTCAGTTGGTTACATTCCTATCAGGATCTGTACACGGCACCGTGCGTGCGATGTAATCAACTACTCGGACAGGATGTGAGTTTACCCTTGTGGCGGAGCTATTCACACCCTCGTAAATCAGACCAGAGCTCAATCGAGCCTCAGCACGAATATTGTCAAGCGGTCTCCTAACACGGTGCGATTTCTTCAAGCCTTTCTTATCCTCTCTGTGTAAATAACTGAATAAATTTTCCTCTACCTCTGTTTTCCTCAGTGTTTTACTGTGGCTCTCACAACGTCTGGATTCGAAAGTAAATCCTAATCTACAGTATCCATATCCGCTCTGTGTGGTACCACTACAATGCGTATGCATGTACGAATTTCAAACAATGTATCGTTGTTGTTCGTGCTACGCTATTTAAGATGAAACAATTAGTGAAGGGAATAGATTACTCTGTCAATTTTCACTCGAACAAACTGGCAACACGAAGCACTTAGTTCTCTTTTTCTGTTCATCGGAATGAAGAAGAGGATAGAAGTGGTGAGATGCAAATTTGTCATTTTTGTTCGACGGCGGCTACCTCGAACAGTAGAGAACGAATGCAACATCCTGACGGTCGATCAACCAGTTAACCGGACCCTATTATTTATAATATCGTTACTTAATCCGTTTTCGAAGCTGTTGAACTTCTGTAAAGCATTATCTCACACGCCACCATTCTCTGCACAATCACCATGGATCCAGAATAATTGCTTTCCGCGGCAATGGTTTAAACCAACCGTTCTCATCCACACCCCGTTTTCCTTGTTGCATCTTAAATCCCCTCCTTCACCTGTTTTTCCTCCACGCGCTTATGCTTACCAGTTATTGGAGGGAATACTCAAAGCGAAACCCCGAGGTAACAGAATCATTCTCCGATAGCGAGTGCTACCGAAAACAGCACCTGAAACCGTTCACATAATAGTTCAAGCTTAACAATGGTGAAAACGGAAACTGGAAAACTGATTGAATTATTCAGAATGAATTTATGTCAACAGCATCTGCATACATTCCGGTCTGTACGCCTAGAACCCTATGTAGGTAGTCTCGGCAACTGTGGAAACCAGCTTTTTCAAGTCGGTCTCTTCTGCTGTCGTTTATGCAGTCTAGATCAAATATAATAAGTCACAATTACTGAGACGATGTCACGAAAAATTCTTGCACTTCTTTCTTGCTAAAAACCACATAGTCTGAGGCTCCATTTCATGCTGGTGAAATTTTGCGACAAACCTACGAAATCTCTCTTCCCCGTCCCCTTTTATAGACAAAATTTTTCCTTGACCACTGAGAATACGGAGAGAGAGACTGTGCAGTCATCGCAAACCCACAGTCTACTACTTGTTTTGGTGAATCTGCCTTCCCGTCATGTAGTGTAAGGAACGATTAGTAGGGGGAGAGTTCGAATCCATTTAACGGCTTTGAAAGTAATAAATAAGTTGACGCGGAGGGTAATTTTTGGCACAGCATTCAGGGGTCACAATCGATCGATAATGTCCTCCCTCCTCCGCCGAACAAAACAAAGACAAATAGCTATTTCATGTGACACGGGCCGTTTTCTCAACACTGACAACTTTTTTGACGGGGGTTCAATACCCACGGATTATTCTGATGCAAAAACGGTGGTGCTTTTGAACAACTAATATGGCGATGAATGGTCTCGCACATATGCACCGGAAATCGACTACTTGTATTGAAACAAAGGACATTCGAGTAGAAAAACGTGTCGGTCGCTTTTAAAACCAAGTCACCCATTCAATGCATTATCTACAGATGAATTAATCAGCAAAGAATAACACAACCCGGTTGTCTATACCATTATCTACTGTATTTCATTATTCATCAGTCTAATTCTCCTAACAGTTTGGTAGGAGATCTGTGGCCAATGTAGTGAAATTCGTGCGTTATGAACGATGTTTGATCTAGGCGAAAAGATAGAGAAAGGAGTGATTTTCATGGAATGTGTATAGCAGAGAGTTAGGTTATCGATTATTTGAATCAGATTGTATGTTCAGTCTCGTTTTTAAACAGTATTATAATGAATCAGGGATCGACAAGGACCGGGGTGACGGAAAATACGAACCATTTGACTCAGTCTAATCACAATCAATGTGCTTGAGGCTTTCCGCCCTCTCTATTCGGTCAAGCGTAGGTTATCCAAAGAGGTCGAGTTCAGGATTTTGTCAACACGCACACCCCTTGTGTGCCCACTAACGATCTGGTGACGTAACCTCCGTTCATGAGCTTTCACTCATTCACAACCACTCTGTCTTCCACTTTCAACGCATACACACTCACAAACATCATTTATCACTAGTCCATCGTCTCTCTTTGATCTCCGATTCCATTCGCAGATATTTCTCTTCTCTCAACGCCTGTTTAATCCATTATAAATTGTGCTGTATTTAGCCAGTTGGTGTAACACCGAAAACGAGCTTGTTTGCTATTTTGTGTTCCCATGACTATTCAAACGGGAATAATTCCATGTTATTGAGGTAACAAACTATCCATGTACGCAAAACTGTCGATACATTAAAAAAGTCATTCTGAAAATGGGACAAGATGCATTCGCGGTATATGCGTACCAAGAACGGTACACACGACATATAGTGTTATGAGAAGCAGATCCCATTTCCGATAGCCGTATTTAGCGACTGTCTACTTCAGTGCTTGTCAGTAGTGAACAGGGTAAGAAAATATGATTCAGGTAATATCATCAAGGGACCCATCCGCGTCCCACTGATTCCTCAAATCATTCCAACGATCTAAATCAACTCTAGAATAACCGC